CTGAAAAGATAATGGTTGTAAGGATCATTGTTGAATAGCTTTTAGGTCATCATTTTAAGCAAGTTTTCTGAAACATGGTTTTTTACAGATCAACTCTCTTAGATTTTTCTCACTGGATAAAGTTCAATTGTTTTGACCAACAGAGTTCAGTTTAATCTAAAGAAAACAAGTGCTTAATCAAAATAAAGAAACAATAGAGATATATAATTAATCGAAAATAACTAATAAAGTAAAATATGAATAATATTTATTCATTAATGAATAAGAAGTCACACCGATGATTTTAAAATCACTGATGTTCATTGATTCCAAAAAATAATGGTCAGAATGAACATCTTTGAATCACCTTACAAGTCATCATTTTTAAGCAAGTTTTATGAAACATGGGTTTTTACAGACATAATCTCTTTGATTTTCTCACTTGATAAAGATCAACCGTTTCGATTAACAGAGCTTAGTTACAGTTCCTAATCTACAAAAAAAACAAGTGCTTAACAACGATTAGATGGTCAAACCTATTTATGATAACCGATTTTCAAATCATGGCGTTCATTGATCTTGTAAAAAAGGATAGGTAGTATCAGAGCAAGTCGTTTTGTGACCATCGATTTTAAAATCCTGGATATTAATTGATCCCGACAAGATAACTATCAGAGCGATGGCCATTGAATCGTTTTTTGTGTCTATCTTAAGCAAGTTTCCAAAAATGAAATTATAGATATATACTGATTGGTTTTTTCCCCAACAAATAAATGATTAGAGACCGCTTTATGACCAAAGAATTTAAAATCATTGACATTCATTGATCCCGAAAAGATAACGGTTAGAGATCGACTCTGATTGGTTTTCTTATCGGATATGATTCAATCATTTCAACCAACCTAGTTTAAACAGTTAAACCTTTCTCATGATAAAACCGACCATAGTCGGTCACAAGAAACCCTTACTTAAAACAATTATCCATAGAACGATTCAATAACAATTACTATAACTGTTATTTGTCCAGATCAATAGGAATTCAGGATTTTAAAATCAATAATCATATAATGGTTGGACCATTCATTCATTGATAATAGATGCTATTCATTGATTTATAAAATTTTTGATGTTCGCTGATCCCAAAACGATAATATCTGCAAAAAAAATGTGAATTCAAAATATAGAAAAACATAATTAATCGAAAGCAACTAATGAAGTAAAAATGGATAAGTGGTGACGTACGATCGTCATCAGATTTAAAATCCTCGATGTTCATGATCCCGAAAAGATAATGATTGCAAGGATCATTGTTGAATAGTTTTTTAGGTCATCATCTTAAGCACGTTTTCTTAAACATGGTTTTTTACGGATCAACTCTCTTAGATTTTTTCACAAGATAAAATTCGGTTGTTTTGACCAACAAAGTTTAGTTATCGTATTTAATCTAAAAAAAAAAAAAGAAAAAAAAAAAAAAAAAAAACAAATAGAGAAACATAATTAATGGAAAACAACTAATGAAGTAAAATATGAATAATATTAATTCATAAATGAATAAGCAGTCATGTTGCTGTTACGATCATCAGTTTTAAAATTCCTGATGTTCATTAATCCCAAAAAGATAATGATCATCATTAAATCACCTTACAAATCCTCTTTAAAAGCAAGCTTTTTGAAACATGGTTTTTTTATAGACCGAGTGTCTTGTATTTTTCTCACCAAAAAAAGTTCAATTGTTTTGACAAACCGAGTTCAATTACGGCTTTTAATCTTCGGAAAATAAGTGCTTAATCAAAATATAGAAACGAATAGAGAAACATAATTAATCGAAAACAACTAAAGCAAAAAAAAAATATGAATAATATTTATTTATATATGAATAAGCAGTCACACCGCTGATGTTCATTGATCCCAAAAAGATAATGGTCAGAAAGATCATCATTGAATCACCTTACAAGTCATCATTTTTAAGCAAGTTTTCTGAAAACATTGGTTTTTACAGAACGACTATATTTGATTTTTCTCACCTAATAAAGATCAACCATTTCAATTAACAGAGCTTAGTTACGGTTCCTAATCTACAAAAAACAAGTGCTTAACAACGATTAGATAGTCAAATCTATTCATAATAATTGATTTTAAATCATCACGTTCATTGATCTTGTAAAAAAGGGTAGGTAGTAAATCAAAATAAGAAGTAAAATGAAGAATAATATCCTACATAAAACAACTATAGAAGTATAATTATATGGCTGACATTTATTCATCAATGAATAAATGATCAAGTCGTTTTGTGACCATCAATTTTAAGATCCTCGATATTAATTGATCCTGACAAGATAACTATCAGAGCAATGTCGCCATTGAATCGCTTTTTGTGTCTATCTTAAGCAAGTTCTCCAAAATTGAATTTTATAGACATATACTAATTTGTTTTTTCCCCACCAAATAAATGATTAGAAACCGCTTTATGACCAAAGAATTTAAGATCATTGACATTCATTGATCCCGAAAAGATAACGGTTAGAGACCGACTTTGATTGGTTTTCTTATCGGATATGGTTCAATCATTTCAACCAACCTGGTTTAAACAGTTAAACCTTATCTCATGATAAAACCGACCATAGTCGGTCACAAGTAACCCTTACTTAAAACAATCATCCACAGAACGATCCAATCACAGTCACTATTGACTGTTATTTGTTCAGATTAATAGGCATTCAAGATTTGAAAATCAATAATCATATAACGGTTTAACCATTCATTCATTGATAATAGATGCTATTCATATTGGGGTTGTTTAGTTTGGTGTGGTTTTAAAACCATCTCGATACAAAGACTTTGCTCAATCACATGATTCAAGTTCGAATCATGTGTGGGACGATTTGGACCCTTCTGTTAGTCTCCATTGTTAAGTCAAATGTCAAGTGCCTCATCACATATCATTCTTAAGGGACAATTATCGTATTTAAGGGATTGAAATTATCGGTAATCGACACTTTGTTTACTCGAGTACAAAGACTTTGTGAAGGAAAAAGACCATGAAATTATTAAAATGTGTGTGATTATTGAATTCTTAAAAAGGCTTTTGAGTTCCTGAGTTACTGGACTACCTTCCCACATATGACAGTGACTACAAATACTAACCAACAACGTCAAGCTGACAAAAGCTGTCAACTTTCGCCATTCTCAAAGGCCAATTCCTTTGCCGTTCACCCTTTTCCGACTCTCATCTTTCTTCTTCATAAACCCCAATTATCCTTCTGCCGAATTCCACACACAAAAAACACAACATCAAAAGTCGAACACCAACTGTTTGTTTTTTTGCCCCAACCAACCTTTCTATATTCAGACAAACCCCTTTCTTCCCATCTTGTTTTTTGCCTTATTTAACTTCACCCCAGATCATCTTTTTGTTGAATTGTATTCTTCTAACCAAATACAATCAAGGGTTTCTTTTAAAAATCATGGATATTTCTCAAAATCTCGAGAAAAATGATCGGAAATTTGCACTTCCGGTTGATTCCGAACACAAAGCCACCGAGTTCCGGTTGTTTTCAATGGCTACACCTCACATGAGAGCTTTCCATCTCTCATGGATATCTTTCTTCTCTTGTTTTGTCTCTACTTTCGCCGCTCCGCCGCTCCTCCCGATCATCCGGGACAATCTTGATTTAACGGCCACCGACATCGGCAATGCCGGAATCGCGGCCGTATCTGGGGCGGTTTTTGCTCGAATTGCCATGGGAACCGCCTGTGATCTCTTTGGCCCCCGCCTCGCCTCCTCTTCCCTCATCCTCCTCACCGCTCCGGCAGTGTTCCTTAGCGCCATCGCCAACTCTCCAGCCGCCTTCTTGATGGTCCGTTTCTTCACCGGATTTTCTTTAGCCACCTTCGTTTCCACCCAGTTCTGGATGAGCTCCATGTTCTCACCAGCAGTCGTCGGCACCGCCAACGGACTCTCCGGTGGGTGGGGAAACCTCGGCGGCGGCGCCACACAGCTGATCATGCCACTCGTTTACTCTCTCATCCATTCCCATATCGGTTCAACCAAATTCACAGCTTGGAGAATCGCATTCTTCATTCCGGCAGTTTTTCAAACACTTAGTGCGTTTGCCATCTTCTTCCTCGGCCAAGACATGCCGGACGGAAATTACGTCAGACTCGAAAAATCCGGCGAGAAACACAAAGATAACTTCTCACAAGTGTTCTACCACGCCATAACCAATTACAGAGGCTGGATCTTGGCGTTGACTTATGGGTATTGCTTCGGTGTAGAGTTGACCATCGATAATATAATAGCTCAGTATTTCTACGATCGATTCAACGTGAACCTGCACACCGCCGGGATAATTGCTGCGAGTTTTGGGTTGGCGAATTTGTTTTCTCGTCCCGGCGGTGGGATATTGTCGGATGTGGTGGCGAAGAGGTTCGGGATGAGGGGGAGATTGTGGACGTTGTGGGTGGTGCAGATGATCGGCGGGTTTCTGTGCTTGTTATTGGGGAAAGTTGGATCTTTGACGGCCTCCATTGTTGTGATGCTTGTGTTCTCTGTATTCGTTCAAGCTGCTTGTGGACTTACGTTCGGTGTCGTCCCATTCGTTTCTAGGAGGTATGTGTTATCACCTGTTTGTTAGAGCATCTATATGTTTGTCAGCAACTCTATCCATACATGATTTAACGTAAAAACTAACCAAAAAGCCTCTTGAAACCTGTTTATTAACAGCTTAACGAGGTTCACAGCTTATTCTAGACATGATTGTTTAATGGTGGTTTAATGATAAAGAAAATGACTTGTACGTTAGAGAGGAAATTTATGTAGAAAGTCTTGAGTTTTTTTTTTCCGGAACATGCCTCTTTCTATTGAAAAACACGTTTCTTTCGTGTATGAAACAGTTCTCTCAAACAAAAATATTTCCAATATATACAGACAGATTAATTTGTACAGACAATTTTGTCCATAGAAGACTTAATAGAAAATCAACCAAAGAGCCAGTTACTCGTTCCTTATATTGTTGTTATTTTTTCTATATCAATTTATTTATCTTCTATTTATTAAATCTTACATTTTTGTCGTCGTTAGAAAGTCATAAATTTAAGTAAAGTGATATACTTGAATATAAGTAGGATCAAACGAGAACATGTTAAAATAAAAAACAACAAAATGGTCAAATCACATGTGAATTTGTACTAAAATCACATGTGATTATAGAACACAGTCAAAGCAGGGGTAAGCGGACGACTTGGCCTGTGACCCTAGGACGAGACCATAATCATGTGAATAATATGTGATCTTACACCATTTTACATATGATTTAGTTGTAAAATCAAATGTAATTTGACCCTTTTTTCATATGATATAATTAACATCGGTAAATACTGTATTTTACTTTTAATCAAATAAAGAGTTACAATTAACATAATATCTTTAAAGATATTTTTGACTTTATTCTGATTTTTTGCACTAAAATTAAATACCGACTATGATAGATTGTAATTACATATTTTTTAAATAATCATAAAATAAGAAAATTATTATTTTAATAATATTGTTGAAATTGTATTTTTATTTATCTTTATATTATTATTATATATTTGACTTATGACAAATTCAACCAATCAGATAAAATAAATATGTTGTTCCTCTAAACAAATCTTTTGTTAAAATTTAAATTGTTTAATATAAACTATAAGGGTATATGCACAATGTAACGAGATATATCTCGATTTCAATATTTTTTAATTCTTTGTCTTTGTCAATGTTATAACACGATTTTATATGGTTTTGAGAAAATGATAATGTTTTTATGTTTGAATAAAATATAAATTCGAAGATCTCATAAAAATTTGATTTTTTTTTATCAATATTAGAATCAAATTAAGTATCTAAAAGTTCTTGTTTTTTTGTGTAATTTCTTTAATTCAATTTTTTATTATAATTTAATAATGAAGTAATTTATTTTCGGTTTAATAATATAATTTTTTATAAAGATAATAATTAAGTATTCTCTTATATGTTAACAATTATCCTAATTATGTTTACGAATTTTTATATTCAAAATGAAATGTTTATCGTATATTTGATTATGTTTATCTGTAGTTAGTTACACAAATTCCAAATGAAGCTTTAATAAGTTATACTTACGCACAATTTACTTATAATTTTGAATTTTAACTAACATACATCAATAAACAATATTTTATACATAAAAAAATGATTTTTAAATTTTTTTTTATCAAATGTTTTATAATATAGTATAGATATCATTTAAAATTTAATTTTACATTTCCATTTTTGGTAATTATTAGAAGGTATTAATAACATTGGTTACAATACATTTAATTTTAATTATAACTAGAAGTCAAATTTGGAATATTCTTGGTTGAAAAAGTCAGCAATTTAATTATTAGTCAAAATCTTTGACCCAACTCAAGAGCTCTACCATCAATTCTCTTGCTACAAAGAGGTCAAATTTAACTTTTTCTATGTTGACAATGTACATTTTTTTTTTCACCTTTTCAACTTTTTAAGGGTGCTAATGATATCTGTGATAAGGTTAATTACCGGTAACGTTAAACGATCTTGTATAGAACCCGTCTTTTGGGCACTGAAAATTTGACTGAAGTTGTCATTTCGTTAAGTTGTTTTCATTTTTCAGCCATTTTTGTATCTCATTTCGACTTTTAGCTATTTCTTACGCATAAACCTTACACATGCCAGTAACGTTTGCTTTTCTGGGAAAAAAAAGATCCTTATGCATTTATGTGTAGCTTTTTCTTATGTGTAACTTTTCTTTCAATTTAAAAATAGGTGGTTTAAGTCAAAAATGAGGTTTATCCATAACTTTTTTTAATGCGTAACTTTTTTTGACCGAAAAGTAAACCTTACATATATGTATAATAGAGGTTAAAAGTTAAAATGAGGTACAACAGTGGCTGACAAGTGAAACCCTTTGATGTGATTGGCTATTTTGATCAATTTACCCTGGGTATCACATTGGCACATTTGTTGAGGCATTTTGTGAGATGAGTTAACGGTTAAGGCAAGCGTTCGAACGTGAATCTGTTATGCATTTGGACAAATTCACTCACACCTTTTCACATACGTTAACCTTTAATTCAGTTGGATTGTTTTTCAGGGTATCAATTGACAGTCCAAAATAACGATGCTATGTTGACTTATACACCATGCAAACAAAAGTTGTATGGGTAGACTAAAATCATCACTGTCTATTAATTTCTTTCTCACACATATTAACATCAAGATTTTTTTTTTACATTTTTAATGCATGATTCGATATGATTTTGACATAAATACATCAAACGACCCTGACTGATTTGGTTCAATGTTCAGGTCACTAGGGGTGATATCCGGGATGACGGGTGGTGGAGGAAACGTAGGGGCTGTTTTGACACAAGTCATATTCTTTAGGGGGTCAAGATACTCAACCGAAGAAGGTATTACTCTAATGGGAGTAATGATAATGTGTTGCTCACTCCCCATTCTTTTCATATACTTCCCTCAATGGGGTGGTTTGTTCTTGGGACCAACTAAAGGATGTACGGAACAAGACTATTATTTGTCTGAATGGTCGACAGCCGAAAAAGAACAAGGGTTTCATAAGATGAGTGTTAAATTTGCCGAGAACAGTAGGACGGAAAGAGGCAGAAAAGGTACATCTGCTCCAATTCCATCTGATAATGAAAATCCGTCTACTGTACTATAAGTTTGTAAAACACCCTTTTCAGCTTTATGTTTGGTGAAGAATTTAAGAATGATGCTTTCATGTTTGATCATAGCATAGTTTCATTAATGACTTGTATTTTACGCAATTAAAGTTGTATATTTTTCTGGGTCAGATAGATGACCTGTTATGTGTAATGGTTTATGTTTGCATCCATGATATCTAAGAATTTTCGGTACCATTCTTACGGGTATTTGGTAAGGTGCTTAATGATTTGTGGGTCTAAGAAATGGCTGATATATGCAATCAAAGTCTTCCTCGATAGATCAGAAACATAATAACTTAAATATCAACAACACCAGTTTGTATTAAAAGTGGAAACAGTAATAAATTACAATTATTAGTTTTAATATTTAAAACATGTTTCAGTAATAATCGAGAATATTCTATGGGGTAGTTACCAAATGACCGAACTAACCCTCACTTAGTCAACTTTGTTAACCTTAATAACCTTTCAATTGTGAATCAGCAACCTTATTTGTGTTGGTTTTGTTTATACATTTTTTATTTTACAAAGATTTTAATTTTATGAGTTAAATTTTATGACTCGATCTACTTCATGTATTTTGATTCATTACGTCTCAGTAAAAACATTACAAAAATGCACAAACCGAGTTCAATCATTTTCAACCAA